AATCACTTCTCCATCCCCTGCCCTTACTGCGTATCTGTGCATCGCCCGGTGTGACGGGGCCCTGATCTCAGTCGCTGTGTGTCTGTGCAGCGCCCGGCCTGACGGGACCCTAATCTCAGTCGCTGTGTGTCTGTGCAGCTATTGGCACGCTGATCTTGGTCCCGGTGCCTCACCCACCCCACCGATCTGAGTCACTCTGTGTCCGTGCAGTGCCCAGCATCCCAATCTCACTTCCCGGGTGCCTGTGCACCACCCAGCGTGACAGGGTCCCACTCTCCATCACTCTGTCTTTGCAGTGCCCGGCCCAGCGGGGCCCTGCTCTTATTTGGCACACGTATCTATCCGTGTTATTTACCTGGCCTCACCAGTGCCGGGTCTGAGCACCTCACAATCATTGATGAGTTTAGCCGCACACAGCCCCTGTGAGGCCGGGAAGGATCAGACTAAAGGTGGGGAACTGAGGCCCAGAGAGGTTCACCCAGCATCACTCAGGAAGTCTGTTTCAGAGCAGGAAATTGAACCCAGATCTCCTGACTCCTGGTCCAGTGCCCTAAGCCCTGCACCATCCCCATTCATAGGTACCCCTGCCGTAGATGTTATAACAACAGCCTGACTCAGGAATTGACTCTGATCTGGATTGTCTCTTCATTCCAGCTGTTGACAGGACGCTGAGCAAGGAAGATGCCAACACTGTAGGGACGTTCCATTCTGCCCACAGCTCCCTGTGCCCATTCCCGCTCTGGGAGAACCTGGCAGACTCCACTGGCTGTGGGGATGAGGTACTCAGGGATCCCACTGCTAACCCCCGGCAGGACAAGAAGCCCGTCCGGTGCAACAAAGAAGAGGTGTTTGGGGATCCCACTGCTGCCCCTCCACTGGACGGGGTGCTTGGAGATCTCACCTCTGCCCCCCAGCCAGCCGAGAAGCCATTCCGGTGCAGCGAGTGCGACAAGACCTTTGGGCAGAGCTCCCACCTGCTGCAGCACCAGATCACGCACACTGGGGACCGTCCCTACCAGTGCCCTGACTGTGGCAAGCGCTTCAGCTGGAGCTCAGCCCTGTGCCAGCACCAGCGCATTCACCGCGGGGAACGCCCCTACCAGTGCGCTGACTGCGGCAAGCGCTTCGCCCAGAGCTCCAACCTGACCACGCACCGGCGCACCCACACGGGCGAGAAGCCCTACTGCTGCCCACAGTGCGGCCGCGGTTTCAGCCAGAATGCCAACCTGATGACCCACCAGCGGGTGCACGCAGGGGTCAAGCGCCACGAGTGCCCCCAGTGCGGACGGGTCTTCGTGGAGCGCTCATCCCTGCTCAAGCACCAAGGCGTGCACTTGGCGGAGAAACCATACCAGTGCCCCGAGTGCGGGCGCAGCTTCACACAGGGCTCCACACTGGCCCAGCACCTCCGCATCCACACCGGTGAGAAACCATACCAGTGCGGTGAGTGCGGGAAGTGCTTTGGGCAGAGCTCGGCCCTGGCCCAGCACCGCCGGGCCCACACAGGTGAGAGATCCTACCACTGCCACCAATGCGGCAAGGCCTTCAGTCAGAGCTCCAACCTCATCACTCACCAGGCCTCACACACCGGTGAGCGGCCTTACAAGTGCCCGGACTGTGGGCGCGCCTTTGGGCGCAGCGCCCATCTGGTTACCCACCAGCGCACTCACACTGGGGAGCGACCCTACCGCTGCCACCAATGCGGCAAGGGCTTCAGCCAGAGCTCCACCTACATCCAGCACCAGACCACCCACACCGGTGAGCGCCCGTACAAGTGCCCGCAGTGTGGCAAGGCCTTTAGCCAGAACTCCAACCTGCTCACCCACCAGCGCATCCACACTGGTGAAAAACCTTACCGCTGCCACCAATGCGGCAAGAGCTTCCGGCAGAGCTCAGGCTATCTGCAGCACCAAAGGACCCACACAGCCTCGCAGCCCTCCACCACACCCACATAATGGTGCTCGCCGTGGGGACTATGGGTCTAACATCACACGCCTCCAATGTTTGTGCTAACTCACAGACATGATGGGAATTACAAACCACAATACATTGCCCAGCCAACAGAGGGCAGCAGAGGATTACACACAATTGGACATGCACCTGCCTCTCCTGCTTGGGCTAAAGCAGCGACACGGTGGACTCATCGATGGATCTGGATGGTTTTCCATTTCATGGGAAATTCTGTTAATTTTTTTTGGGGGGGGGGGGGGGGAGAAACATCCATTCCAAAACAGAATGAAAAGAAACAAATTCAAAACTTCCCCTAAAACAAAATCCGTGGAAGGGAACATCTAGTGTTGACCAAAACAATTTGTTCTGGGTTAGACTTTTTCATTTTTTATTATATAACATAATATACCATTAAAAAATATATGTAATACGCAATTTAAAAAATTGAAAGGCAATGTCGTTTGGAAATGGGAAATCAAAATGTTCCGCTAAAGATCAAAGCATTTTGTTCCAGTTTTTTTCCTAAATGAAATTGATGCATTTCCACGCAATGAAATAGCAGTTTCAATGAAATGGCATTTTCTGAAGGAGACATATGCCATCAGAAGAGTTCCAAC